AGGGTAAAAGGGGAGGGAAGAGCATCCTGGTTGTTGCCGTTTTCTCCTTCCGTCGTAGCTCGCCCAAGCAGCAAGGCCCCATGCCGGCTTGATGCGGTGGGTGGAGATGGAGGACGAGAGGAGTTGTAACGACATCGTACGTCGTGGGGTAGAAGAAAGTCAGAGGGGGAAAACGATTCGTATGGGAAAAAGGATAAGGTAGCCTACGAAGCGCTCGAGGCCGTGGGAGACGCACGATCGAGATCGATCACGCGGCTCGCGCGCGACCGGCCCAATCTTCGGCCGGCGCGCCATGTCTAAACGATTCCCTTAACCATATCTATCACCACAACATTCTTCCACTCCCACTCCCACTCCCTGTTCAGTAGCCAAGCCGCCACGTTTCCCCACCAGAGATGAAGATCCACATCACGAGCCCCGCTTCTCCGGCCACGCCATCTCCTCGACGTCGACACCATCTCTGGTGTGCGCCGGGGGCATCTTCCTCGACATCGACGGCTAAGAGGCGCCTCGCTTCCGGAGGCGGTCGACGTCACCAAAACTCCTGCCGACGGCCGGCGCTGGCTCCGGCGACATCACACCATGTCGTGTACGCACGGTGCGGCGACGCCTTTGTCTCGATGGCCATCGTGCGTCGCTTCCCTTCCCGAGGCGGTCGACACCAACCAAGCCCCGGCCTCACGCCACATGGATCCGGTCACCGGTGGTGCGTGGTCACTTTGTTGCACCGATGGCCACGCGGGTATCCTGACCCGGATCCGGTGTGAATACCGCCTCTTGTGCAAAACCAAGCACCTTCACCGGATGGGTGCCTGTTACGGGTAAACCTGAGAATGGTTATTAAAAAACTGGGTGAAACGGTTCGGTTCTTATTTTGGGTTTAATTGGTTCAGGTTTTATTGGGCTGAACTAAATCTTTTTTAGTTTGGTTTTGGTTTGGGTATGTGAAGAAACCAATTTAGGTATAATTGGTTATGGGCTTAAATAATTCGGTTATTAACGGCTATAATTTATGGGTCCAAACCGGTTTCTGGATTTTGGTTGTGTGCAATAAGCAAGGACGCATCGACATCAAGTATCTTTGATCCGCGTATATGCTGCGATGCACTACGTAATTCTGTATTATGGAAAAACACCACGCATGCAAATCGAATGTGTTTGCTTGTGTTTTAGCTAGGCAATTGGTTTTAATACACTTGTCAGTGAGCTTTTTAGTCGTGGGCATTATCTTTTTGACTCTTGCTTTGTGTTGACCGTATCTCAACGATAACTTTGTTCCCAAACTATTGTAGATGCACTTATGCCTTTTCTATGTCATTTGCTTCTTAACATGTCGATTTGTGCAATTATATATACATTTAAGCAAACCCATAGTTATGTATTGGGTTTAAACCCACGGTTATGTATTGGGTTTAAATTGGTTTGGGTGGAAAAAATAGACGGTTTAGTTTTGGTTGGGTTGAAAATGACATTAAACGGGTATGGTTCAAGTATGATTTTGAGAGATACATGTACGAGTATGGTTTAAATATGAAACTATTCTCAGATTTAGTTACGGACGCATTGCATCCCGGGCTGTAACGCGTCCTGGGCCGAGTCTTTCTTCTCTCGTCTACAAACCCGGCCCGCTAACTGCTCGGTCCATTAAAGACCTAGCCGCGAGAGCAACTAGTTAACGAGCGCTCCTTCGGGAGGCTCACAACGATCAGCGCTACTTGGTACGCTCTCAGCCATTTGTCACGTGTCGTGCTCTGGACGCTCCGTTTGGATTTTGTTTTTTATTCACACGCGTTTTCAGCTTTTTAGACGGTTTTTTCGGGTTTTTTGACGTTTTGGTTTTTCCTTGATCTTTCTTAGCTTTTCGAACAAAAAAAAATTAAAATTTTTTTGCGCGAAAAAAACGCATTTTCTTTTATTTTCCTTTCGCGAAAGTCATGGTTTTTTTTTTCCGTGAGAGGCATGGTTGTGCTTTAGCGAGAGTCACGATTTTGTTTCTGCGAGAGTCACGGCCGTGCCTCTTGAAAAAGGAAAAAACAAAACGTGTTTTCTGTTTTTTTTCTTTCATGAGAGTCACGATTTTGCTTCCACAAGAGGCACGGTTGTGCTTTTGCGAAAGTCACGACCGTGCATCTAGAAAAGGGAAAAACAAAATGTGTTTTCTGTTTTTTTATTTTCGTGAGAGTCACGGTTTTGCTTCCGCTAGAGGCACGGTTGTGCTTTCGCGAAGTCACGGCCATGCCTCTAGGAAAGGGAAAAAATACATGTTTTTTGTTTTTTTTTCGCGAGAGTCACAGTTTTGCTTTCGCGAGAGGTACGGTTGTGCCTTCGTGAAAGTCACAGCCGTGCCTCTCGGAAACGAAAAAAACGTGTTTTTTGTTTTTTCCCTTTCACGAGAGTCACGGTTTTACTTTCACGAGAGGCACGGTTGTGATTTCGCGAGAGGCACGGTTGTGATTTCGCGAGAGGCACGGGCGTGTCTCTTTCGAAAAGGAAAAAAAACCATGCTCCCGGTTCGGTTTTTTCATCCAGTATTTTTCGTCTGGTTTTTTCGTGAAAAAAAAGTTTGTCAAAAACTATCGACATGGGATCTAGTTTTGAAGATATCGACGCGAAAAATCCAATAATAAAAACGCTTCGAGATTTAGACGCACGGTTAAAAAATAAAATGTTTTGAATAAACGAATCTAGAAAAAAGAAAAAACTCCCAGATTACAACAAATGGCGCTGTGCACCATTTGTCACGATCTGGGGAAGTGAAATGTTCTTTGCAACTTGCAACTACTCCTTAATTAATTATTAATTAATTAGTGATTTCGCCTAGCCATGGCCGACGCCACTCCTGTCCGCTCCGCTCCACAGGGTGAGCGCTCGGCGAGGGCGGCGGAACCTCGCCGGCGACGACCTTCGCCCATCGCTCACCTCATCTCAGGTACACTATCACCCCACTCGTTCCCCCCTTTCGTTCGATTTCTTTTGGCACCTGCATTACCTCCAACTGCTCGCCCCTGTTTCCTGCCCTACAGGGTGTCATCGTCGGCGGCGGCGGAAGGAGGCAACCCTTTCCGCGTCGTTGGTTGGTTCCCTGCGGCGAAGGAGGCCGCCTCGTTGGTTGGATCCCCGCGGTGGAGTGAGGCAAGCCCGTCCTCGTCCTTGGTTCGATCCCGGCGGCGGAGGGAGTCAACCCCGTCCGCCTCGTTGGTTGGTTCCCGGCTGTGGTGGGAGGCAGCCCTGTCTGCCTTGTCGGTTGCTTCCTCGTGAGACGTGCCTGCAACTGCTTCCAGTAGGAGGTGAAGGGAGGCAGCAAAGTTACCTGCAGCAGGGGAGGCCAAATCCTCCAAGGTATTATCTCCCCCTAAAGTTGGTCTCTCATTGAACTAGTTGTTACCGGCACAAGTGCAGTACTGTTCATGTTCTTGTATGTTATGGTGATCTGGTTATGAGCCAATTTGGCTTCAAGCATATTGTTTCTGGTTTTTGCCATTGTTACATCAATTCTAAAGATGCAGCTTAATGTACATACCTATGGATTTTCAGATTGAGGATATGTATGCTTGCGTTTGTTTGTTAAATGAAAGGCCTTGTCTGTGCAAGTTAGGATGTATCTTTATGCTTGCAGTTTTTGGTCAATAAACTTCTTATTTGTGCTAAGTTGGATATTTCTTTATCACCAGCGAGCACATTACTCGAGGAACCTCGCCGGCGACGACTGTGCCCATCGGCCATCGCATCTGAGGTATGCTGTCACGCCACTTGTTCTTCCCTTTTGGTTGGATTTCCTTTTGTCACCTGCATTGCTCCCAACTGCTCACTCTTGTTTCTTGCCCTACAGGGGTTGTTGTTGTTGGCGGCGGCGGAGGTGGGCTACCCTGTCTGCGTCCTTTCCGGCCTCGGAGGGAGGCAACCCTGTCCGTGTCCTCGTTTGGTTCCCGCTGTTGGCGGAGGGAGGAAACCCTATCCGCCTTGTAGGTTGCTTCCTGGTTGCGTGGCAGAGGCAGACAGCCCCATCCTCGTCGTACGTTGCTTCCTGGTGACAGCAAAGGAGTTGAGGTGTTGGTCCCAGCAGCTGGCAATGGGAGTGAGCCGTGTCTGCAGCTGCTTGCTGTAGGAGGTGAAAGGATCCATCAGAGTTACCTGGTGCAGGGTGAGAAAGGGGACGGCCAAATCCTGCAGGTGGTGAATTTAATATCTCGCCCTAAATTTGGTCTTCCATTGAACTAGTTGTTACTGGCAGATGTGCAATTCTCTTCTTGAAATCTATTTTATCTTCTTGTACATTATGGTGATCTGAAGATGAGCCAATTCTGCATTTGTTTGTGCAATAAAAGGCCTTGCTTGTGCTAAACTTCTGCAGATGTTTCTTTATGCTTACAGTTTTTGTTCAATATGCTCATGCTTTGTGCTTAGTTTGATATTTCTTCGTCAGTTCCTTGTAATGAAGGTCTTTTATTATTCCAGCAAGCACATTAGTTCAGGAGAAACACTCATCTTGCAATCTCTTTCATTTTTTTGTAATAAGATTTTTTGGTGCTGTTTCTAATTAGGCTTTAAGCTGCTGCTCCTTGTCACCTATGTACACTTCTGAATTTCAGGTCAATTCCAAAAGAAACAAGTCATTTGTCCTTGTTTTGTGCAATTTGTCACAAGTAATTCCTTGTGTAAAATGGTGGTTTGGTGTTTGGCTGATAAGGGCTAAACCTTGATAGAAACACTGCTGATAAAATTTTATTGAAAATACTCTGAATTTTTTATACTGACATAATTTATGGTTGCACTTTCTGATTTGTTCAATAAAACACCATGTTTCTGTTATATTATGATGTGTGTTTGTCAGCACTGTCATAATAGATCGTATGAGGTGGAAAAAGTGTCTTGTATGTCTTAGATCTTTGTTGGATTGAGTTGTATTAGTTAGTGGTGCACTGCTTAATTGCACTTTACATAGTTTTTGTTCATTTTCTATTGACATATCTGACCCTATTCTGTTGGCTGTAGCTACCACCATGTTGACCTCAAGACAGGCTGATCGGGAGCTGAAGAAGTTTGAGGAAGCACAACGTGAAGCTGAAAGAGTAGCTTTCGTCTAATCTTTGAAGGCAATTTCTGCTGAGCTTCTAACATTTTGGCTTCCCATAGAGCCATCGGCTGCGGATTTTATGCGTTTGATCCAGTCGCAACAGGAGAGATATTTCAACATTTCATCTTTGCTCCTTTCCATTACAAAAGAGGACGGCAAGTCTGAAACAAAGGTTCCGGTAACGCCAAAAAGCCAGGAAGAGGTACCGAGATCTATTTTTTCTGTGTTCAATGACAATCGAATGGGTTTTTATTTTTTGCAATGGTTAATTATTGTTTATCCCATCATTTTTTTAGCCCGACAAGCAATCCTTTCACTCAATATCAATAAGGTGTGATGATGGAGCCGTCTTGGAAATTTTAATACGTGAAAACGATAACTATGTTGTTGGTTTTCGTGTATATCTCAACATCGAGGCTAGGAATGAAACCCCGTGGAGAACCTTTGGTGTGAAGTTGCCTAGCCGATTGTGGGTATCTGAGCCAACAAAGTATAAGTCTCAACATGGGGAACTGTAAGTATTAATTAGTTGTTTTTTAACCAGTTTATAAGTAGTTGATCCCTGCCTCTAAGACGTCCCTATGAGAAATAATATATTGATTGCCCAGGGGCTCATTCTCATCCTGTTGACATGACACATGCATACTCTTCCTCAATGATGTGTAGTGGCTACGAATTATTTTATTACAAAGACAAGAGCTGGAGGCTATCTCCAAGCATAGCGTCGATGCTAAGCAATTTTTTCTTAGAGGCTGTTCTCACAGTGTATAGCGCCTGCCTCTATCGCTTTTGGGGTTTGTTATGATCAATGTTTTTAGTCCTGTCTATCTAAATGTTTGCAAGATCTGTGAACCAATTTCCAATCTCATTTCTGAATGCATGTTCAATCGTCTTGGTACAAACTTGTTTAGTTATTTGGTACAAACTTGGCAAAGAAGTGTTTGAAGCTCAATTACATCTGGGAAGCAAACCATTATTTGCCCAGGGGCTCATTCTCACGTTCATCATTGTTGGGTGTTACTGTCATGTTTCTCTAAACCTAACATTGCATGATCATTCAGGCTTAAAAACATTTGGGAGGGTGCCTTGTCCTTCATATTTGTGTCTTTTTTGCTTTTTTCTACAACTTATTTTTGTGTTGTTTATAGGGAAAAGGTGCAATTTGGTCAAGGAATTCTCTTGAAAATTGTCGATTTTCTTAAAGATCTTCAACGTCATCCTGACCAAGAAATGACAGACTTAGGCCAGAGATATGTTTGCACACTCTTCCTCTTGTTTGGCGAGGCACAGAGATTTGCCAAGGCCAGGCAGTGGGTTCTTGATGCTGTTGACAGTCCCATTGCGTTGACGAACCTGTATGGAGTTGTCAAAGACAGGAATGGAGTTGTATGTGGCTATGTGGGAGGAAAGGAATTTGTTGTTCAAGTACAAAGGAAGGTTTGAGCATCAAGCAGGCTATGTCAATCCCTATGAAGATGTTGTCAAGATTGCAAAAGAAGCGTGTATACGGAAGGAGCAAGAGCACCATGCGACGAACCTGTGCTTCCGTTCAAGGCCAACTGCGGAGGTTGATTT